GGGTGGGGTGGTGGAGGTCAATTGGTGGGAAAAGGGGGACATCTGCAATACTTTCAACAATAAAGATAAATTTTACAAAAGTAGTACTTTTTGACTTAATATTACAACACTGTTTAAATTATCAGTGATTCACATTCTGTTAAGTCTTATTAAGAAATGTATATTTCAGCAACACACTATACATCTCAAGCTTTTTGCCTTCAGATTTTTCCATGACTACAAGTAAAAGAATTGTCAGGATCTTGGTTTCCATCTGGCTTTACCACAGCCAATTGGCTTAGCAAACCTGTTGAAATATCACTTATATGACATTTGAGGAGTGTGCCATCCCAGAGTCTGAAAGTCTATGAATGCACTAATTCATGACAGAAGAGTTCACAATTTTCACTTCTTTATAAATGATTAATGGAGCTGCATTCACTTTTTAGAAAAACAATAAAACTAAATACCATAAATATCTAAGTTATCTTCTTTGATGCAGTTTTCAAGAAACACTATTAGAGGAATCCTAACTTGCAATTGGAAACTCTTTGAGAACACAAAGGATGGGAGTTAGGCATGAAATTTTTATCTAGAGAGGTCTGAGCTATAGATGTTAATTGTTATTAACACTTTCAGTAAGTATCTCAAATGGAAGCATAACATTTTTAGAAGCAAATTAATTGAACAAAATTGCAAGCAGGTGGCATAGGAAATAATGCAGCTTACAGTGCTTCATTTTAACCTGAAGCCTGGATTTACATATTTCAGCAAATCTCTAATTGAATCTTTCAGAGGAAAGACTTTTTCCCTCCCAGAGGGATTATTTGTACCAAGTTTTTCTTCTAAAGTCTTTATTAATAAGAAGTCTTCCTTAATTAAAATCACAGAATTTTACAACTAAGTCTTGGAGATTGTATTCAATCCTTTCATTCAGAGATGAGGCCCAGAGAGGCACGGTATTGAGAAGATGAGATTTCTGCAGGTAAAATATGTAGAGAAGAAATATGACAATATGTGCCAGTGCTTCAATTATGTAGTACCCATACATTCATGCATTCAATTTACACAAAGCATCCGAAAAAGCAGTAACCCAAAAACAGTAAGACATAAACCTTAGAGGAGAGCTCTAAACCAAAACATGAAGGTGCCCTTTTACACAAAGCATCCGAAAAAGCAGTAACCCAAAAACAGTAAGACATAAACCTTAGAGGAGAGCTCTAAACCAAAACATGAAGGTGCCCTTTCCAGCCTAGGGATGGAAACCCAATGGGAACCCCAAATTATGTCTATGCCCTGAAACATTATTTGCCTTGAAGAGTCCTTCATATCCCAAATAAAGGCAATCCAATGAAATGTCAGTACCTTTTTAACCAGGATCCATAGGAATTAATGATTCTTTCAAATTCTAAGCCTAGCAATTAATTAGAATGATTTGGCAAACAAGATCATCTGATATAGAAGAGGCATCTAACAATGTCTCAGATTCATTCATGATAAAATATCTTGGAAGTTAGGAATAGATGGTATTTATATCAACTTGAGAAAGAACACCACCAAAAAACATACAGTTAATGTCAACCATAATGGCGAGAGACTGTCTTCCCACTAAGTTGGGAACTAAGCAAGGATGTTTACTTTCACCACTCTTACTCAACATGGTATTGGAAGTTAGAGGCACTCCTGTGAGGAAAGAAAAATAAAAGGCATTGTAAATGATACAGCTGTTCAGTAGAAAATCCCAAGGAATCTAAAAACACACACACAAACAAACAAACAACAACAACAACAAAACTCCTGGAACTTAAAAGTAAGTTAAAGTTGGAGGATACAAAATTAACACTAAGCAAAGAGTTCTTACACTTGACACTAAAAAGCATGCTACACAAAAAGAAAAACTGGTAAGTTGGACTTCATCAAAACTAAAAGATTTTGCTCCACAAAAGTACAAATGAAAGGGATAAAAAATAAGCAACCTACAGACTAGGAGGAAATATTTGCAAAATACATATCCAACAAAGGACTAGAATATATAAAGAACTACGAAGACGCAACAGTAAAAACACCCCCAAGTTTAAAAAAAATGGGCAAATGCTATGAATAGACAGTTCACTGAAGAGGATATACAGATGGGGCAAATAATCACAGCAAAGATGTTCAACACCATTAGGCATCAGGGAAATGCAGATTAAACCCACAATGAAACATCACTATACATTCACCAGAATGTCTAAAATAAAAACTAATGACAACACAACATGCTGGCAAGGATGAAGAGAAACTGGATCACTCATGCATTGCTGGTGGGAATATAAAATCGTACAGCCACTTTGGAAAACAGTCTGACAATTTTATGTAAAATTAAATGTGTAACTACCACACGGCCTAGCAATCATTCTCCTGGTCATTTACCCCAGAGAAATAAAAACTCATGTCCACATAAAAACCTGTACACAAAAAATTGTAATTGTTTATTTTTAATAGAAAAAAATTGGAATCAGTCTATATGTCTTTTAATAGGTGAATGGCTAAGCAAACTCTAGTATATCTATTCCATGGAATACTACTTAGCAGTAGAAAGGAATGAGCTATTGATACAAGCAACAACTTGGATGGATCTCCAGAGAATTATGCTGAGTAATGGGGGGGGATCCAATCCAAAAAGGTTATATACTGTATGATTCATTTTTGAAATGACAAAACTTTTGAAAGAAGGGCATATTAGTGGTTCTCAAGAGTTAGGGAGGCAGAGAGCAGAGTGGAGCTGCAGGAAAGGGTAGAAGGGAGATGGGAGTGTTTATAAAGGGGTAACATTAGGAATCTGTGTGGAATTGAAACTGTTCAGTATTTTGACTGTGGTGGTAGAGAGAAACTGTCACAGATGCATTATGCTAAGTGAAATAAGCCAGTCAATGAAGGAAAAATACCACATGATCTCACTCATTCATGGATAATAGAGACCATTATAAACTTTTGAACAATAATAGTTACAGAGGCAGAGCTGCCTCACACAGATTGTCAAACTGCAGCGGGAAGGCCGGGGAGGGTTGGGGGTCAGGAGGGAGGGGGGTAAGAGATCAACTGAAGGACTTGTATGCATGCATATGAGCATAACCAATGAACATAAAACACTGGGGGGTAGGGGAAGCCAGGGTATTGTCAAGGGCGGGGGAAAAAAAGGACATATATGTAATACCCTTTGTAATGCTTTAAGCAATAAAAAAAATTAAAAAAAAGAAAAAAACACTGTATAGAACTTGATACACACAAGTATAAGTAAATGAATAAAATCTGAGCAAGATTGGTGAATGTTATCAATGCCAATATTCTAGTTGATATACTATAGCTTTGCAAAATAGTATTACTGGGGAAAATGGGGCAAAGTGTACAAGGGATTTCCAGCTCAATAAAAATTCAGTTTAAAAAAAGCAAATTCAAAGGTCACACTCTGCAGGTAGTTGAGCAACAACTGAATGTCCATTTGGACTGGAGGAATCACAGAAGCCATGGAATCTGGCCTCCATTTTTAAAGGGCTCAAAAACATGTCTTGCGTAAGAAATCAACCAAAGGACTTGTATGCATGCATATAAGCATAACCAATGGACACAAGACACTGGGGGGTAGGGGAGGCCAGGAGAAGGTCAAGGGGAGAAAAAAAGGAGACATATGTAATACTCTTTGTGATACTTTAAGCAATAAAAAAAATAAAAATAAAATAAAATGAATATCATTAAGTACAAAAAAAAAAAAAACATGTCTTGCCACATTCATTCTGTTCCCACTTGTGAATAAGTGATCATTTGCACAAATGATTTGCATGAGCTGGCTCCATATTTTAAAGTGGGGATAATCCATGCTAATTCACAGGAGCCTGTGGGCTTAATTGCCATTTGCTCCTTCACTCTAGACACAATTGTATCATTGCAATCATTGGGAGCTGGAGAACAGAGGTATAGAGTAGCTGAATATTTATGAGTCATTTTGTTGCAGATGTACCTACCAACAGAATATTAAGTAGAACATTTGCTAAGGTACCAAATTCTCTTTGTGATTTGAGTATATCACCTCATATTAAGTCTTTGTGTTTTTCTAGCTTGCATATTGCACCTGGTTTTTCTTTCAATCAACTCTGTAAATATAATTCAGAGTGTGTTTATTAGATTTGTGATAGCTAGTGGTAACCAGAAACTGCCACAGACAGATCTGCCTGTGGGGTAAACAAACAAACAAACAAAAAAGCAAAATGAACATCTTTAAAATGATGAAAAAACAATTCTCAAAGTGATGTCTGTATTCAATTTCCAGGCAAGGAAATGAAAAATGAATTCTGTGATAGAGAGAGGGAATGGCTAGAGCCTCCATCTCTGAATCTATAGGATAATGTCACCCTGTGCAAGTGAATACAAATAAGGAGGTTTAAACAAACTACAAACAGATCCTGCTTATCTTTGTGATGAAAAATAAGATAGCACAGAGAATTGATATACAAAAGCAAAATAAAATTGCCTTTTAGCTAGAGGAGCCCATCAGCACGGAATCTTTTCTATCAGAGCTGATAAATGGATAGAAGGCTTAATAGTGGGCCAAAGGCCTTAGAAAGTACATAAACTATGTAATAAATCTCTGCACATTTTTAAGAATGGCGAGTTCATAAAGTAATTCAAAGCATCTGGATCATTAGATCAATCAATAAATCTTAGCAAATTGATAGCTCCACACATACAGGGACCCTACGTTTTGATACAGTGTAGATTTCTCAGGATGGACTCAATTCGTGTTATTTCATTCTTTTCAAAGAGTGGACTTCTCAAACGGATAACTAAGAGTAATTTAATCTGCATATCTTTAGGAAGACACTTCATCTTCATACATTCACAAGTCAGAACAAATCCTTTGTTGGTTCATGTATCTGAGTGAGATTCAGAAATTATGTTCAACATACCTAGAGAGGTATTTTAGTTTATGATCAGTCCCTAATGGTCACTTCAAGAAATTCCTGTCACTATCCATTCCTTTTAACAATATTGTAGACTACTGTCACAGCTAAAAACTGGAAGCAACTTAAAAGTTCTTCAAAGGGAGTTTGTTGGATAGATTATAGCATGTCCTTATTTTACCTTGCTAATCAGCATCACCCCCCAATAACCAGATAGCTCTATATTTTTTAATATGAAATATAACCAACATGTATTAAATGTAAAACCAAGATACAGAAGACTATGCATATAATGATAATCTAACTTTGAAAAAGGAAAACAAAGAACATTTACATGTAAACCCAAGTTTTAAATTGTTTCTACAAGGATACATAATAAATTGCTAACAATTATTAATTTTAGGGAGAGGCACTTGGGGTAAATGTACTGATGTGTCCATGATAATATAGTAAAAATAAATCAAATTGTAGAAAAATATGTATTTATGAATATATTATTTTTAAACTATACACATCTATACACACCCATACATAATACACACACACTTACTTAATCCATAGGGGTAAAACTAAATAAAATAGACACCTATGTAGAGAGGATTCTCAGTAGGTTTTATTTTCTACTTCATGTACTTTTTTATGGTTTGAGTTTATTTTATTCAAAATCATAATGTATTACATGTAAATTTTTAAAAATAAAGAAAAGATGCTTAAAAACTACTCCAAAACTAATTTACTAATGAGTCGTAACTTTTGTTATTATTATTTATCATTGTGCTGTTTAAATATTCCTGAGACACCTCTAACTATAGTGAATACTTTTTTATTAAACCCAGGTAGGGTTCACAGCTTTTAGCAAATGTTCCCAAAAGCCTTGTTCTCATGAATATATAAATACACACATATATAATTTATGTGTAAGTAGATTTATTGAGATTTGTAACCTAGCAATGTGTTCATCAAAATTTATTTTTTAAAGGTCATAATCTTTCTATGGACCATAAATAACAATTTATTAGGCAAAAGCTGAAGCTAGAAATGTAATCACTCCTATTGATTCATATAATTGCCCCATTTTCTCAGATGTCATATGGCCAAGACGGAGGTAGAAGAAATTCTATGGTGTTACAGTTTCCTTAGTGATGAGCAGGCAGTGATTGTGGCTGGCAGTCTAATTTCCCCAGGTGGGTTATCAGTACCAGCAATTCCTTTCAAAGTAAGCTTTTAAGACAGTGGTTCATAACCTTTTGGGGGGGGGCACAGATTCCTTTGAGTTAGTACTAATGGTGTGGGGGTAAAAAGAACATGGGCTTTGCAACCTGACAAAACCCTGTTTAGCCCCGGTGAGGTTGAAACGGCCCCGGTGAGGTTGGGACGGCCCCGGTGAGGCTGAAACGGCCCCGGTGAGGTCGGGACTGCTCCAGTGAGGTTGGGACAGATAATGGGGACCAGTATAGACCGATGAACAGGGGTAGATGCAGAGGCAGAGCAACATTGAACAGACTGTCAAACTACAGTGGGAAGCCTGGGGAGGGTTGAGGGGGGGGCATTAAGAGATCAACCGAAGGACTTATATGCATGCATATAAGATTAACCAATGGACACAAGACACCGGGGGGGGGGGGGTAGGGGCCAGGGGAATGTCAAGGGGGGGGGGGAGACATATGTAATACTCTTTTTAATACTTTAAGAAATAAAAATTATTAATTAAAAAAAACAACCCTGTTTAAATCCCAGCTACACTGCTTATTTGATGAGTGACCTTAAGCAATTTACTTAACTTCTCTGAGCCTCTTCTCATCTATAAAATGTCTGGCACATGGTAAGAACTTAGTAAAAGTCAGAAATTATCTTAATATTTTAGAATATGATGAAAACTATAGACTCTGTCCTCAGAGGAAAATCCATACTGCATATTTAGGATGTTGTATACCATTTCAAGGGCTTTGTCCACCTATCAAGGCCATTTTGGACCTCAAGTCAGGAATCCCTGATCTAAGGTTTGGAAAGAACATTTGAAGAAACCTGAATAGTAAAAGCAACATTTTTCTATTCCTTTTGCTTATTGTCATTTTAGGCTGTATTTTCTTTTGCCTATTTGTTGTGTTAGATTATTTGTGTATTATGGCCACCAAGACTTAATCAGACCAAGAGAATAGATTTTACATTAAGTGTACAAATGAGCAAAATAAATAAGGGCTGTCTAGTACTTTAACACATCAGTTAGATTTAGCAATTTACCAGCAAAGTGGTAGGAAAGGTCATAGCAATTCACTGGCCAGAGTAGGTTTTCAAAGATTGCTGCTAACCATATGGATTTAATGGAACCATGCTTCTAGTTTCTTAGATCAAAGATAAAGTCACTTTAAACTGATTTGGGTGAGCTGTTCAGGCTTAAGTTTACTAGTCTCCAGCTCAGTTTTATAATCTAGGACTATTCTCTTTTATTTTCAAGACTTCAGAGAAGAAAAAAAACACACAAATGTGTTTAGGTGGTAGCTCAAAAGAACACAGAAACTGTTCCTTTGCATTAGTCTGATCTCAAAGAAACACAGAAACCTCCTGGAATATGCCTCTGCCATTAATTCAAACAGCATGCAGGTGGTTGGTAAAAACGTATTTCCATAGTCTGTGAGAGCTCTATTAGACATGGATCTAGCCCCCCATTCCCTCACTGACTCCCTACCCAAAATCCATAAGAGCAGTAAATATTGCTCCTCTAAGAATAAGTGAACATTTGAAAAAATGAGATAAAATCCAATCTTGATGTTATTATCACTGACTTTACCCACACTTCAGGACTGGAGAAGATTGGACTTAAGGGGACAGTGGAGTTGCACAGAGAAAAACAATTTTTTATTTCCTCATCAAAACTGGAAAGAAGGGGGAAATAGGTGTGTAATTATAAAAAGCCAGTTTTCTTACAAGAACTCCATTCTAAGATCATCATTGCTCCCCCCCCCAAAAAAAATAAATTGGTTTATAAATACCATTGCCCATTAAAAGGAACCAGGGCTCTTTGGTAAAATGACTGATCCTTGGATTGAAAAGAGAAAGTGCAAGATGAGCCTGTAATATCTTGTTGTGCCAAAAGTAAGGAAGTGCTCAAAAATGATGGGAACATGTCAAAAGGACACAAGAGCCAGATTGAAGGATTCCCACTGGCCAAATCTGGGCCAATTTGAACATCAAAATAAATGATAGCAACAGATTGCAATCCAAATTAAGAATCTATGAGTTTATGCTGATATAAACACATAAAAAACTAGAAAAAATAAGTAAATGTGAAGAAGAGAACACTCTTCCTTACAATAGAAGACTAATAAATGTAGAAAAATGAAGTTTTAAAAATCATCAATTTGCAAACTTTATAATAATAAGTGATTGGGGCAAGAATCATCAATAGATGTAAAACTACTGGGTGAAAGTTTGATAAGAACAAGATATCTACATACCTTCCAAATATCTCCCGAGAAATTACTTATTAATTGCAACGGAAAAAGTAGTAACTATAATGGAGAAATCTAGCAATCACCATCAGAATCAAATGATCAAAGTTACCAATACCAGTAATGGGACAAATTAGCATCATGAAAGACAAGGAAAGAATGTTTTGTTCCAGATTAGAATCTAATGAGACATGATAACTAAATTTAATGTGTGATCCTGAACTGGATCTTGGATCAGGCAAAAACAGCTATAAAGAAAATTATTAGGATGATTGGCTAAATTTGAATATGGACTATGAATTAGGTATTAGTATTATATCAATGTTAAATTTCCTGATATTGATCATTGTACCATGGTTATGTAAGAGAATGTCCTCTTTCTTAGGAAATACACACTGAGATACTTAGGGGTATTATTTAGGGATCATGAGGCATTATGTCTGCAACTTTTAAATCATTAAGAAACAAATAAATAGTGTGTGTGTGTGTGTGTGTGTGTGTGTGTGTGTGTGTGTGTGTGTGTAGGGAGGAGGAAAGAGAAAGAGAGAGGGAGAATAATAAAACATAAGGAAAATTTAACAAATGGTGAATCTGGGTAAGGAATATACAGAAGTTCTTTGTCCTATTGCAATATTTCTGTAAGTTTGAAATTATATCAAAATAAAAGACAAAGAAAAGTAGCTGACAAAACTGGAGTACTCTCTGAGGAAGACAGAGCTGTGAGCTAGGAGTGAGTCATTTGGAGTAGCAAGCAGAAGAGTACTGCATCACTGCTACCCTTACTAAGGAGGACAATTCATAAGTTGCTCATAGCAGCGCAGTCTTGTGTCAACAGTTGGATGATCTTGTTGACGAGCCAAACATCTTCCCAACTAACTATGTTTCCACCCAAGCACTTCATAAACTCCTCATTTTCCAGGATGTAGTCCCAGAGTTGTAAGTAGTACAAGCTACCAGTGAATCAAGGCACCATACTTTTAACCTGTTTCTGTTCTTAAGAAAATGTCCTAGAAACAGAGTCCCATTAGGTGTCAGGTTTTGTGGTTGACCCATCATTACCAGTATTCTTTCTTTATTCAGGAAGAGCTCTAATTTGCCTTTCATGCCATCCCATATCAAGCATACTGCATGTCATTGAAATGGAATCAAGTGGTAATGGATATAAAAGGTTTTGCACAAGTTGTATAGTGTTAACTGCTGGTGATCTCCTGCAAGCCCAAGGTCTATGTCTTCTCCTATATTACTGATAATAATATATTACTAATAATATAGGAGATGGCCAAACAATCACTTGATTTGTCATCCACAAATACCAGGTCAATGCATTCTGTGAATCAAATGAGTTCAGGAATGGTGTTGGTCAGGCTTACATATGTGTGAGCTCTTCCATAAAAATCCAGCCTTTTTCCTTTTAGTGAAAGTGCATCTGTCCAAATTTTGGGAAGGTGAAGGGAAAACAATTGAAATTTTAGTAACAAGAAATTGTATTTTGTCATCTTTTTTAGCTATATAGTCAAATCTATATTATGCAATGGTACTATTGTAAATCAATACTGGTACAAATAAGCCAAATAGTAGATATAAAAAAATCATATCTATTTGACATCAGCATGTGACTTTTTTGGCAGAAGAGTTTCTTCCTAATTATATTTTGCCTGGGCTAATGTGAACAGTTAGATTAGTGTTCCCAGAGCACACATAAGCTGGATAATTTAGGGAGGCAGTTAGAAGTGTATGGCTAGTGGACTGGGGGGAGGCCAAGGAAAAGGCAGTTTGGACTTAAAATTTGCTGCACATAATTCCACTCACATAATCAAAAGGTAACTATTTCTATCTACCTAACTGCCTTATTATATTCATGGTGCAGCAGCAATTTATTTATCCAATGCCTTTTCCTAAACCAAATTATCTGATTATTCTGCCTCTGAAGACTGCTTCTCACTGAAGGCACTGACAGGGGCCTGACGAATGGCCAGCTGGACAATACTGAAGTGCCAGGGCTTCTGTTTGCACCCAGGAATGGTAGAAATGCCACAACCCGGAGTGTATCTTGATTCCCTCCTTCCATCTCCTCAAAGGAGGCTGCAGAAGCTTTAAGAGGCTCTAGATGTCCATGAAGTCAGTTTTCACTGGCGCTGGAGTCACACAGCCTGGGATGGAATCCCAGCTCTGACATTCATCAGCTGTGTGACTTTGAACAAGTAACTTAATATTTCTATGCCTTAATGTTTACTTCAGTAAAATGGGAATTCCGAGCCACAGTGTTGTATTTATGCACAACTCTAGGGGCCACCATTCACATTATAGTCTATGCCAGATAATACCTCTAACCTACTGGCCTTACAAGATTGTTTGACGGTTAAGTGAGATGATTATGTATACAAAGTCCTCTCAAACATTGCTGAAGAGTATGTACATTGGTAACGTGTTTTGATGGGCAATTTGGCAATATGTATGAAAATTTAAATTGAGTATGCCATTTATTTCATGGAAAGCTATTGATGAGTCATTATACTATTACCGTTATAAACTTTACACCCCAGGCCACTAAGCAAATATATAATTGCTGAGCATCAACCTAATTCCAGTTCCAGCACAGCCTAAGACAAATCAAAAAAAAGCTTTATGGTAGGACAGAATTCCAAGTTGTCTCTGAATTAGGGGTGTAACGTTGAGACCACCAATCTAAAACTGGTAGCCCATAACAGCGCACTAAAGAAACTGGCAGGAAGTGACCACTTCTGTGCTTCTGGGAGATGTCCCCAAATGAAAGCTTCTAGACATTCTGTAGCCTTATGGTATTTTCTCCCTCCATTCCTCCACTGAACATCATCCAAAAGCAAACAAGTACATGCTGACTCCCACACATTCACACACATACACATATATCACACACCCATGTGCCAGAACTTAAACCATTCACCTGCCAGGGAGCTATTTCTGGACTGTCCATGGCAGATGAGCAAATGCTTATTTCTGTATCTGGCTTATGTGATTATATTATCATCTTTCATGTGGCTAATAAATCAAGAGTTAATCCCCACAAAGTGATAATCATGAAACCCAAGGCTTTATTATGGTTCGTTAACATTGCTTTTCTGTTCAGCCCTCCAAAATGACATCATGTACAACATTTAAGAAAGAGTTTTATGGTAAAAATAAATTTCCAGGGTTTATTTGTCCCTTAAAAGAGAATGTATCATAATCTTTTTTTAAATAAATCTTTATTGTTCAGATTATTACAGTTGTTCCTCTCCCCCCCCCATAGCTCCCCTCCACCCAGGTCCCACCCCACCCTCTGCCCTTACCCACCCCCACTGTCCTCATCCATAGGTGTATGATTTTTGTCCAGTCTCTTCCCACACCCCCCACACCCCTTCCCCCCCCCGAGAATTGTCATTCCACTCCCTTTCTATGCCCCTGATTCTATTATATTCACCAGTTTACTCTATTCATCAGATTTTTTTATTCACTTGATTTTTAGATTCACTTGTTGATAGATATGTAATTGTTGTTCATAATTTTTATCTTTACTTTTTTCTTCTTTCTCTTCTTAAAGAATACCTTTCAGCATTTCATATAATACTGGTTTGGTGGTGGTGAACTCCTTTCGCTTTCTCTTATCAGTGAAGCTTTTTATCTGACCTTCAATTCTGAATGATAGCTTTGCTGGGTAAAGTAATCTTGGTTGTAGTTCTTGCTATTCATCACTTTGAATACTTCTTGCCCCTCCCTTCTGGCCTGCATAGTTTCTGTTGAGAAATCAGCTGACAGTCGTATGGGTACTCCCTTGTAGGTAACTGACTTTTTTTCTCTTGTTGCTTTTAAGATTTTCTCTTTGTCTTTTGCCCTTAGCATTTTAATTATGATGTGTCTTGGTGTGGTCCTCTTTGGATTCCTTTTGTTTGGGGTTCTCTGGGCTTCCTGGACTTGTAAGTCTATTTCTTTCACCAGATAGAGGAAGTTTTCTGTCATTATTTCTTCAAATAGGTTTTCAATATCTTGCCCTCTCTCTTCTTCTGGCACCCCTATAATTCGGATGTTGGGACGCTTGAAGTTGTCCCAGAGGCTCCTTACACTATCTTCATATTTTTGGATTCTTTTTTCTTTTTGCTTTTCCAGTTGGGTGTTTTTTACTTCTTCATATTTCAAATATTTGACTTGATTCTTGGGATCCTCTTGTCTGCTGTTGGATCTCTGTATATTATTCTTTATTTCAGTCAGTGTATGCTTAATTTCTAGTTGGTCCTTTTTCATATCCTCGAGGGTCTCACTAAATTTATCAGCAGTTTCCAGAAAATTCTTGAAAAACCTTATAACCGTGGTTTTGAACTCTATATCCAGCAGTTTGCTTTCCTCCATTTCTATCATTTGTGATCTGTTTCTTTGTCTCCAAATTTTTTATGCTTCCCTGTGTTGATAGAGTGGCTTTCTGTGCTAGGTGTCCTATAGGGCCCAGTGGCTCAGCCTCCCCAATTACCTGGGGTGGACACTCTTGGTGCACCCCTTTGTGGGCTGTGTGCACAGTCTTGTTGTAGTTAAGCCTTGATTGTTGTAGGTATCACTGGGAGGAGTTGACCTCCAGGCCAATTGTCTGTGAGAATCAGCTGTGTCTACAGTGGGAGAACTTCTGTGTTGAAGACACCCTTATGGGGCAAGACTTGCTTCAGTGGGGCTTTGGTGAGTCTGCCCCCTGAGTGTGTCCCTTATGGATCTGAGGAGTTTTAATCTGGATGGTCCCAATTTGACCACTGGGCACACTGGCTCTTGGATCGCTAAGGAGGTGCTAATTTAGCCTCTGCCTGAGGCTACCCAGCAGGAGCTATGGGGAGATCTGCAGGTCCCTCTTCCTTGTTTGGGTTTTGGAGGTGCCCAGATGAGGCCCAGCTGTGAAGCAATGCAAGCTGCTGTGGGGCCTTGGGCCTTCTTTTGGATGTCCTGGGTCTTTCTGACCCAGCTGCAATTTGTTAGGTAATTTTAGATCTCAAAGGGCCAGCCCATTCATATGCAAAAGCCTCTGCTAGCAGCTTGGGTGGGGCGGGGTCTCAGGGAATCAACAGGGCAGAGCAACAGCTCTGGCTGCTCCTCAGTCCTGCCCTAAGAGGTCCTGGGTCTCAGTGTCCTGGTAATCGCTGCCAGCACCTCTGAGAGAAAGCCGCCCTCGAGTTCCGCCCGCTGCCAGACAGTCTAGTTTCTCCCCATATAAGTCTGGGTCCCCAGAGACTCACCCGGAACTGGAGTCAGGGCTGTAGGGAACTTGTGCCTCCCTCCCGATTGCAAAAGACACCAGCGTCCTCCGTTGCCAGCCCCTTTCCGCGCGCTCGAGCCTCCGTACCTCTGCACTTTACTTCCGCACCTCCTCTGAGTCTCAGTGTGCTTTTCCCTTTCCTTCTAGTTGTAGAATTTCCACTCAGCCAGCCTTCCTGTGGTTCTGGATGATGTCTGTTTTGTCTTTTAGTTGTATTTTTAAAGTGGTTGTGCGAGGCAGCAATTTCAGGTGTTTACCTATGCCGCCATCTTGTTTTCTCTCCATAATCTTATATGGTCTAAAAGGGCCTCTCCTCTCTGCGATTTATTAATATAAAACCAGTTGTCAAAGGACATGAATAAGCAACTTACTAGATAGGAAATATAAAAAGATGGCCCCTCACTATTTTCAAAATACAAGTTAAAACAACAAGATAGCCTTTTTTGCCTTTTAAAATGACAACATTTTAGACAGAATACCAAGTTTTGATGGGCCTGTGGGGAAACAAGTCACTTTAATACACTGTTGGTGGAAGTACCAATTAGTACAGCCTCTCTCTCTTTTTGAAGGGCAATTTGCCAATATCTGTGAACATTTTAATTGTGTCTAATTGTGTATATGTTTTGATCCACTAAATCCATCTCTATCAATTTATTCTAAACAAATGTACATGTATACAAAGATGCAATGATGTATGTCTATCAATAAGTGGCTAGTTAAGCAATTATTACCTCTATACAATGGACTATTTAAAAAACAAGGTAGATCTATATAGTCATGGAGAGATGTCCAAGGTCTTATATTATGAACATGGAATCTTTTCTATTTATTTAGACCTTCTGTACTTTCTATGAGCAATGTTTATCATTTTAATGTAGAAGTCTTTCACCTACTTGGTTAATTTATTCCTACGTATTTTATTCTTTTAGATGCTATTATAAACAAAAATTTTTTTCTTAACTTCATTTTAGATTGCTCATTGCTAGAAATGAATTAGTGATATACATAGAAATATCACTAATGTTTGTGTGTTGATCTTGTATCCTGCAACTTTGATGAATTTGTTTATTAACTTAAATATTTTATTTGCAGATACTTTAGGATGGTGTATATGTAAGATCATATCATATCATCTATGAATAATTGGTGGGGTTTTTCCAGTTTGGATGCCTTTAATTTCTTTTTCTTGCCCAATTGCTCTGGCTATAACTTCCATGTAATGTTAAATAGAAGTGGTGAAAATTGGCATTCTGATCTTGTTCCTAATCCTCAAAGGAAGTTTTCAGCTTTTCACCATTATGTATGATGTTAACTGTGAGTTTTTTGTAGATGCCCTTTATCAGGTTATCTAAGTTCCCTTCCATTTCTAGTGAATTAAGTGTTTTTATCATGACAGGGTGTTGCTTTTTCTGTATCACATTGATCATTTTTTATATGTTCAACCACCCTTTCATTCCTGGAATAAATTCCACTTGATCAGTGCCGAAACCGGTTTGGCTCAGTGGATAGAGGCAGCTGGTCAATGTTTCTCTCTCATCGATGTTTCTAACTCTCTATCTCTCTCCCTTCCTCTCTGTAAAAAATCAATAAAATATATTTTTAAAAAAATTCCACTTGATCAGGATATATAATCCCCTTAATATACTGCTGGATTCGGTCTGCCAATATTTTGTCAAGAATTTTTAGACCTATATTCATAAGAGATATTGGTCTGAAACCAATACAAATAATATTGAATGTAAATTATAATTTTAAAAACTTTAAATAAATAATTTATCTAAACATTTTTGAAAGCTACATTTTTTTAAAAAAAAGCTGGGATAGCAATACTTATACTAGACAAAATAGACTTTAAAACAAAGGCTATAACAAGAAATAATGAAGGACCCAACAATTCCACTTCTGGGTATTTATCTGAAGAAACCCAAAACATAAAATCAAAAAATTATATGGTTCCATATGTTCATTGCAGCATTATTTACAATAGCCAAGATATGGAAGCAATGAAAGTGTCGATGAATAGATGAATGGATAGAGAAGAAGTGGTACATATATGCAATTAAATATGACTTGACCATAAAAAAATAATGTAATATTGCCATCCGTAACAACATGGACCTAGAGGGTATTGTGCTGAGTGAAAATAAGTCAGACAGGGAAAGACAAATGCCATATTATTTCACTTATATGTGTAATCTAAAAATATATATATAATAAATGAACAAGCAGACAAGAAACAGACTCATAGATAGAGCGAACATTTTGACAGTTGCCACATGGTAGGGGGTTAGGGGAATAAGGTGAAGGGGTTAAGAAGTACAAATTGTTAGTTACAGAATGGTCATGGGATATAAAGTACAACATCGGGAATATAATTAATAATATTGTAATGACTATGTGTGGTGTCAGATGTGTCCAAATTAATTGGGGTAATCACTTCATACGTTATATAAATGCTTAGTCACTGGGTTGTGCATCAGAAACTAATGTACAAAACTGTAATTAAAATATTAATAATTATTTTTAATGGAATAGAGAAAACATATTTTCTTGCCTTTAAAGAAACAGGCAGGGAACAGATAAATCAACATTTTAGTAGGCAGTCAAGTCCAGGTATGAGTTGCCACTATGCCTCATAGGTCCCATTTCAAGATTTAATATAAGAAACATAGTTTCCTATCAGGTTCTGCACACAGCAGGAAGCCAGTCAGTGTTTGCTATTGATGGTGATAATTTGCTATTTTTCCAGAAGATTAATTAGTTCTTAAATCTGTGGGCTGTTCAAATTAAACCCCAGGTATATTTTATCAGGAATTGTCACTCACTGGCATGTATGACCTTTTAGCTAAAGGCTGATATGATAAATAAGAATGGTATCAACTGGCCCTGGCTGGGTGGCTTACTCAGTTGGAACATCGCCCTGTACACCAAAAAATTGCAGGTTGAATCCCCCCGGTCAAGGTACATATGGGAGTCAACAAGTCCATGTTTCTCTCTCACATTGATGTTTCTCTCTCTTTCTCTTCCCCTTCCTCTCTGAAAAATAAATAAAAACATATCCTCATGTGAGGATTAAAAAAAAAAAGATTGCTCATTCTTTAAAAAAAAAAAAAAGAATGGTATCAACTGAAGTTAATGTGGATGACAATGCAGTTTTCCAAGACAAACTTTTTCTTAAGTCTCCAAATTACCTTCAGTTGAAAGGTCTTAATCATCTACTTGCTGCATAATAGAAACAAAGACAGAACCTATTTCATTCCTGTCACAGAATCAAGGCAAGGTCTGGACCTCCCCAGAACACATGCCTATATGTGAATAAGAGACCAGCTTTTGGAACACCTTATTTTCCTCATCTATAGTCTATGATTGCTGCCATATATGTATAATGGAGACAGAAAGATGGTTGCATCCAGGAGATCAAGGTTCAATTCCCAGTCAGGGCACATGCCCAGGTTGTGGGTTTGATCCCCAGTGTGGGGCGTGCAGGAAGCAGCCAATCAATGATTTCCTCTCATTGTTGATGTTTCCATCTATCTCTCTCCCCTCCTCTCTGAAATCAATAAAAATATATTAAAAAGATGGTTTCATAATGCTACAGTTAGATTTAAATAAAACATTATGCATAAGAGAAAAGAGCCCAAGAGAAAACGCAAAGCTTTGGTTAGGTGTGCATTAACCACCCAATGGCACTTCAGAGTTACATCAAGAAATCAAAAAGTGGAGGGGGGTCAAAAAGGTGGAGAAAATGGGAGACATCTGTAATACTGTCAACAACAAAGTAAACTTTAAAAAAAATAGTAGTCCAAGTTATCCACTTGAGCCCATGCACAATCCCGAGTGAATGGATTCATTTATTGAAATTCCAACTTGTCCTACAGCCCTACTGACCAAAAGGAAGTTATTGAGAGGCAGCCCAGCAATTTTTCAAATGGGCGTTTCTGTAACTTGCTGTACATGAGACATTGAAAGAGATAATAAGAATATATTTTCTTACCTGTGAGAAAGCTAAAACTGGACATGAGAATCAATCCATAAAGCCTCTGATACATGATATGTCCTTTCATTGTCTAAACCTGTTTTAAAAAAGTCAGAAATATGCCTAGCTCAGATTCAGAACAAACAATTTCTAGGTGTATGTGACCACCTTCTTCTCATTTCATGCAAGGATTGTTCCGATTGCTTAAAATCATGTCAGCCAGCCACAATATAGACGCTTACTTGCCTGAGTTATGCAGCTTGGCTGAAACCTCACAGATAGATTTATTTGCATAGCCATTCAACAAATTTTATTGAGTGCCTACTATGTGGAAGACACTGTGTTACACACTGGGAATACAGTGCTGGAAAAACAAGACAGAGATACCTGCCCTCATTGGGAAATCAGACATCAAATACATAATTACAAAATGTGATTTTATTCAACCTTTATGTACACAACTTTAAAACAACAACTCTGGTTTTAACGGTTTTAACAAGCCTAAATTTTTTGAAGGAAGCATTATACAAGAAGAACTTACTGGTAAAAGTAACTCATGAAATCATTTCATCTCATTGCATTCACCCAGCTTCTCTCAAATAATTCTAACGAAAGCTGATTATTTGGGAAACACACTGCAAACCCCTCTTTCTCCAACCCAAACAGTGTTAAAACTCCAAATCCTACAGAAACATAGAAGTTTGGCAGTTGGGTGCTGATGGACATTTTCTAATTTTAAATAAAATACACTTCTGAATGATTTACTACTGATTTAAACACTTCTTTTCCTATAGGATAATACATCATATTATATTTCTTTCTACTTCTAAGTGGGATTTGGAGTGAATAGACTCACTTTGTATTTAAAGTAACAGAAGTCAATTAGGAAACCAAATGAGTCTTGGACTTGCTTTGAGCACCTGTCATTAATAAGGCTCTTCACATTTACCAAGTGTTCAAATGCCATTCTCATTAGAATAATAAGGGAATTTGTATGGCTTGGATGGATTTTTTAAACTACAAACTTAGAAGTAAGGGGACATCTAAATCTTTTATGACATGCAAGATGAAATGCAACTTAAATTTACAGTGCTATAAGAGTACCAGATAAGAATCTGTAACTAGCTGTAAGGCTGTATTTCTGCTCCTTCATTTCCCTGGACCTCAGTTTCCTTATCTGTAAAAATAGAGATAATAATCTGCCTATTTCCCAAAGCTGCTATAGAAGATCAAATGATGTGATATTTAAAAGGCAATTTTCAAAGTATAAAGTGCTATAGAAATGGATATGATCACTATCTATAAAATGGAATTTTCAACAGCAAACAATCCAATTTATATTTTTCTTACATTTCCTCTAAACTTTTATAACAATCTCAAGGTATGTTTCAGAAACTTACCTGGCACCCAAAAAGTAAATCATGGGATTTTCACACTACAGAATACTATGCAGTCATTAAAGAGAATAAGATAAGACCAGCCAGTGTGGCTCAGTGGTTGAGTGTCAACCCAGGAATCAAGAGGTCACCGGTTAGATTCCCAGGTTGCAGGCTCCATCCCCAGTAGGTAGTGTGTAGAAGGCAGTTGATCTATGATGTTTCTCTCTCATCGATGTTTCTTTCTATCCCTCTCCTTTCCTCTCTCTCCAAAAAATCAACAAAAACATTTTTTTTAAAAAAAGGAATAAGGTAAGTCTATATGTCTATCAGGCATAAAAGGGTGGGTGGGGAGTGGGGACAGGATCTTTCATTTTATGCAATTCTGTACTGCTTGATTCTTTTAAATTATCACACATTACCTATATAACTTTAAATGTTGAAAGAAAAGAGAAAGAAAGGAAGAGAGGGCTAAAGAAAGAGAGAAGACAGGAAGGAAGTGGATGAGAGAAGTTGAAGGAAGAATAGGGATTAAATAGGTTTCCTTTATACCTAATACCATTCAGTATTGTTTGATTATTTTACAATGAGCATGCATTACTTTTATAATTTTTTTAAAAATGAAAGAAGAAAGAAAAGAGGGAAAGAAGTGAAAGAATGGAGATTAAGGACTTTTATATTATACCTCATACAATTCTGTTCTTTTATGATGAATATTTATTACTTTTATAATTTTTTTAAAAAATTAAAGGAAGAAAAGAAAGAAGGAAGGAAAGATGGGGATAAAGAAGAAGGAAGGGTGGAAGGGAGGGAAGAAGAGAAGAAAAACACTCACCTGAGAACTGGATTCCTTTAACTTCCCACCCCCGTGTCACTGTGGAGTCCACAACAAGAGTTTGCTTTACAAATGAGCAGACCTGGTCTCTAAATCCCTACATTTGACATGAAATGGAACAAGCAAAAAGCAGGAGGTTCATTATCTGCTGGCAATGCCTCAGTCACCTCCTTTTATGGATCAAGCCAGCCTCTCTGCTCTTAGCTTTATGGGGCTTATTGACCAGGTAAAATCCTCTTTTTGTGTCTCGCAGCACGTCATGGGGCTGCTCCCCTGAGCATGAAATCAGCATGGGCAAAGTCCTCAGGTTATTATATACCTGCAAGAACCCATTAATTTGAGGTTTCTTTTTCAGTTTTCATTAAGGATTATCTTAACTTGATTATCACTTTAATTCAATTGGATATATTAAGCAGGTACTGAACTAAGGTTCATTTCACTTTATTGAGAAAATGGGGAGTGGGTAGTGTTCAGAACTATGAGCAGAAAGTAGAGGCCAAGGAAGTATTAATATAGTCACATCTCACACTGTCAGTAAAGTGAAGCCAGCTGTTTATATTCACTGCAGATCCTTTCTTCAAATTTCCTTCAAAATAAATAGATTTACTGAACTGGTTTTGCGTCAGAGGGGGTTGTGCTTTTTGTCCCAGATGGTATCATTATAGCCCTTTGGAGATGATAGAAATATCAAATCTCATCAAAATATCCAGAGATGTTCCCCACCAGCCTCTGCATTTCCAAGATCAGGACCCTGAGTTCCAGAGGGTAGAATAACTTGCTCAAGTTCATTGAGCTTATGAGAGGCAGAACAGGAGCTACGACCGTGGGCTCCTCACTCCAAGACCAATACCTTTTTCTCTCCATCTCACACCTTAAATGGAAAAATTCAGTCTAGTAAGAGACTCTGTCAAAGTATTATCTGTAAGCCAGTGGTTCTTCAGGCAGGAAAGGGAAGGAGAGTGTCTCAGAATCACCGATTACCCACTCCAAGCCCAGAAACTGTTATCAGTGTGGAGGATGAGAGTCCAGATTTTGCAGAAAGATAGACAAGTTTGAATCTCAATTGTGTGGTTTAGGGCCTGTTCCCCTAACATCTCTAGAGCCCCCAGTACCCTCATGTGAAAAATGTAGATAATGACACTTACCTTGTAACCCTGGGAAGATTATGTGATACTGTGTGTATAAAGGGCTTTAGCCCAGTACCTGGCATGGAACTCCAGTGCCACTGATCCTGCCCAGAACTCCACTGCTTCCTCTTTACACTTGTCACTAGGCTTGTTTTTTATGGCCTGCTACCCACATGGGGTAACACAGCTTACAAGGAGATGTGGGGCAATTGCCAAGAATCATCTTGGCACTTCCCTGTCATTGGTTTATATTTCACACCATGCCTGCTCATTGATCTGTCCACACCTCCCCCTCTAACACTATAAGCTCCATTCAAAGGTTCACACACTGCCAGGCACACAGAGAACACTCAATCAATATTTGGTAAATGAATGGCTATGCCTTTCCCTCCTACTAAAGTGTGCACTTATTGAAAATAAGGGAAACACATCTCTGTTCTCCTCATGCCCTGCCCCAGGAGTTAGCACAACACCTGGAACATAGTAGGTGCTTAATGAATATTTTCTGAATTGAAAATGAATATAGAGGAGAATATATTTATATATACTTGAATACATTAAGAAAATCCTCTGTGCCGAAACCGGTTTGGCTCAGTGGATAGAGCGTCAGCCTGCGGACTGAAAGGTCCCAGGTTCGATTCCGGTCAAGGGCATGTACCTGGGTTGCGGGCACATCCCCAGTGGGAGATGTGCAGGAGGCAGCTGGTCGATGTTTCTCTCTCATCGATGTTTCTAACTCTCTATCTCTCTCCCTTCCTCTCTGTAAAAAATCAATAAAATATATTTAAAAAAAAAAAAAGAAAATCCTCTGGCCCTGACCGGTTTGGCTCAGTGGATAGAGCATCGGCCTGTGGACTGAAAGGTCCCAGGTTCGATTCTGGTCAAGGGCATGTACCTTGGTTGTGGGCACATCCCCAGTGGGGAGTGTGCAGGAGGCAGCTGATTGATGTTTCTCTCTCATCGATGTTTCTGGCTCTCTATCCCTCTCCCTTCCTCTCTGTAAAAAATCAATAAAATATATTTTTAAAAAATCCTCTGAATGGAGATCCTGGTGACAACAGCTCATTTTTTTAAAAGGAGACTAAGAGGCCTTGGATGGGAGGGAACCTTACTTTTTTCTGCATATGCTTTTGTATTGTTAGAATTTTAATTATCTGCATACGTTGCTTTGTCAAAGAAAAATACTATGTTTACTTTTTAAATCCAATGTATCAAATGAAATAATTTACTGGAAAATGAAATGTGCAGAAAAAGAAAGAGGTTAGAGCTCTTGGTCAGGAAGAAAATGCCACCTGAGAAGAGAGGACTTCAATGGGTAGCTTCCATTATCTGGAAGGTTATATGGTGAATGTTGACCATATGTTCTCCTTATCTACAGGGTAATAGGAAATGGACTGAAATTACAGTGGGAGATGTGAGTTAAATATAAATAAATCATTATTGAGCATAGTTTCTGATAAACACCCAAAAAGGCTATCACGAGATGTTTTGAGCCTTCCATCCCTGGAAACTCAAAGGTCTAGATTGCCATATGGCTCTGCTGATTTATGTGTCCTCCCACAGAGAGAGAAGGCTGATCTTGTTGAGACTCTGTTTCCCTTTCTGACACTAGAAGAAACACTTAATCTGGTGATGTTCCAGGCTGTCATTGTTCCCTCTTCCCTTTCCAGGTCATTTGGGAATCTGATTATTTCTACACATCATGGCTCCCAACCACAGGCTTCGGATTGAATTTAAGGACCAACCATAG